TTTTGCCGATCCACTTTTACAAGCTTCCACTAATATGTACGCATCTACTTTTCGCAATGCACGATTTCCATTACGTACTGGACAAGACACGACATAAATGAGTTTGTCCATGTGCAACTTCGACTGTTTGTTAACTGGGAGAGATGCAGTGGCTGTCTTTTATGGCCACCGAAATAGTCTATTAGATTGCAGTAGTGGTCCATTCCACAATGGATAACAGGATAGGATGTCCAATTTCAAACATTTACTAATCGTCGACTATTCGGCGTTATACATATCGCGTAGCCCGCACATGTGGCCCGCGTACTCCCGTAGTACGTGAACCAAGATGGCGGACACCGGGGCGTAGTATGTGTACCAGGCTAGGCCATAATTTCGGGTACAAATACTACGGGAGTCACTTGGCTAGTCCCCGAACTCGTAATAGAATTAAAATAAGGAAAATTGGAATTAAATTATGACCTAACCCTAACCTGGTACACATACTACGTTCCGGTGTCCGTCATCTTGGTTCACATACTACGGGAGTACAAGATAGTACACCACCACACTGGGGACTGCATCCCCGACCGATGGATTGGAGGGGATGGGTCGATTCTATGCCTCTATGGCCATCACCTTCCCCATACATCACTCCCCTGGACATCTTTGCTTGAGGTTACATTAAGAATATTGTGTATCGAACATAAGTACAGAACATGGCTAACCTGAAACAAAAATTTCCAATGCCATTGATGGGGCTATGCTACAATGAACATGACAGGAAACTGAGTATCGTCTAGATGTGCTTCGTGCAACTAATGGTACCCATATAGAAGTGTATTTCATAGAATAATGATATTTTTATTTAAACGTGTATTAAATGTGTCAATAAAAACGTTATGAAATACTGATTAACATAAAACAACCCACCTTCCGATATCATTCTGTTTGTTCACTTAGAGAAGCAGTAAGACACATTACTTCCTTCGTCTCTAATTACTTTATTGTTAATAGTACTGCGGTATAATTTAGACGTCCCAAAAATTAAAGAGGCGTATCGATAAAGTGGATACATAGCTAGGTTGAGATCTACTTACGCAAAGTGACAAACCGAAAGTTGTAATTGTTAATAGCCCAAAAGGAAATGGAGTATCAACATTTATAATTCAGTCAGAAATGTTAAATGATTGGCAAACTTAACGATATTCTATTCAGCCGAGAGACCGCTAATGGAATGAGATGGAAAACGCGGAAGATAGAGATAGTTTTGTTAAGAACTGTACCATATTTTAAATAGTCTGTATCAGTAACCACTTTTCCAAATTGCTATGCTACAATGAACATGGCAGGAAACCGTCTAGACGTGCTTCGTTCAACTAATGGTGCCCATATAGAAGTGTATCATTGCGATATCTTATCATTGCACTTGGCAATATTTTTTTAAATTGTAAAGAAAAAAGACTTTATGAACACCATGCTCTACCCCTACTTCATAATCTGCGTAACAGATAATGAAATAAATAAATATTGCACCCCCAAACTGGCTATGGTTGGCTTGCGACAACGTCTCCCATTCAAAGTTGCATGGACCAAAGGAGGCAGCATAATGTGTTTTGTGGTATACAAAAACTAGTTACTAGATGCTTTTTTGCAGTGAAATTTCAAAGACTCAATGTAACAGTGTCGAAGGAATGATTTGAAAATTTGAAATTCCAGCGCAAACTGTATATTCCTAACCTATCCTCAACTGGATAACTACTATTTTTTGGAGCGGTGGAGGGACCTTTCTACCAAATATGCCTAATTGTTTCTCACCCAGTTATATCAAGTTTATCAGAAACAAGACTTTACGTGGGGGAAACTGTATAAATAAGTACAGGAGTATGTTGTAGAAATTCGTCGCTGAAAAGCTGTTTTCCATCAGATTGTTTGCTTCGAAAAGTAGTTAGCCTCGTTAATTAAATGAAAATAATTTGATTCAATTTTTGGAACAAAATATAAATGACAATACGTACTCTCGACGTCAATCTTGCGTTTATCGTGAAATAAAATCACACTAAGTTTTGAAGTGTGTCAGTTTTACCTTAGTGTAGCATATATAGGTATAAACATTAGTTGCATTCGATTTGTTCTTCACTCACGTAAATTATCAGTATATATATGAGCGATCTGAGGGGTGAAATGTGAAGTATATATTATGCTGTAGAAACTCGACGCTGAAAAGTAATCTTTGCTGTGCTTTAGTTTGTTTACCTAGAGAAGCGTTCAGGAAGTTCATTCTACATTTCCTGTTAATCAATTATTAGCAACGCTGCGACATAATTAAAACATTAACAAAAGTTGCAGGGGTGTGACGAAAAGGTGCAACAGTGGTACATAGCTAAGTGGTGATCGAAGAATTTTATTCGCCTTGCCAAGTCTTGTTCAATAACTCAAATGATTTAAATAAGACGTTGGTAAACCTCTTTGAAGTCAGAGCAAATCGACTTATATTCTGAACTGGCAGTACGAAATTTCTCCTCCTTTCAAAATGATATTCTGTCGGTTTTCGAATTTGTTGTTATGCGTTCTATCAGTTTTGCGGTAACCACATGAAATGAATATACAAACGCCGGTGGCGAATTGCTGTCATGACGTATGCAGTTTTGAAATAATTTGCTTTTATTTTGAGAACAAAATATAGATCGCAACAAATACGTTCTCTCGACGTCGGTCTTACGTTTATCGTATAGTGAAATCATACACTGTTTCCAAATTTGGGTCAATTAGTTAGGCGTAGGGATGGTTATATAATCCAAACTGCCATTTGAATGGCCGCGCATGTTTGTTTACCTGGCAAAGCAGCCAGCCACATTACTTCTTCCTTCATTTCCCATTAGTAACACTGCGGTATAATTGAGACTTTACAAAATTGAAGGGACGTATCGAAAAAGTGTAACGTTGGATACATAGCTTGCTAGGTTGAGATCTATTTACGCAAAGTGACAAAAAGAAAATTGTAATTGTTAAAAGCACGAGAAGGAATGAAGTATTAACATTTATTATTCAGTCAGAAATGTTAAAAAATAGGCAAAGTTAAAATCGAGGCAGGAATATACCGTCTACTTTCGGCAAGGTGGTGATTCTAAGTTTAGATTATATAGAATTTTGTGTCTCTCTGAAAATGACTATACGCCTATGGAGGGCGGTAAATTGAAATATACATGGCATTTAAAACCAATAAACGACGGGGTGATGGCCAGATTGGCTTTGTTGTATTAACACGCCATGAAGGCACAGCGATTTAAGATAGGAAGACAAATGGTACGTGTGGGCTTAATATAGGCATACTCCCGAATGCACAACTTAATTTCATGCCCGTATTTGTACAGCTACATGTAAATCTTTCGACTTCGGGAATTTCAACTTACAATACAAACTATGTGGTGATCCGTGTTACAAAGGGAAAGAAATATAGCTAATTTCTGAATACTTATATACCTGAATGGAATATTGTCTGACGTCGTTGAATGTTTTTGTAGCGAATTTACGAAGTACAATAGTGTGGATCTAGTCTAGGTGGAACGATTATTTATCAGTGATTAATGCCGTAGAAGGCCACTGTTTTTATAAGCGAATAAAACATATCAACAACAAAAACAACATGCTATAATATTCTATGATTATGCCAACTTAAACAACTGTTATTTAAACGCTCGTGATTATATACAACTAAACACATTTTAGTTTCGCAACGGATTTAGCGATTCATGGCAACAATACAAATATTTAAAATAAGATTACCGTATAAAGTTTGCTTCCATATTCCGCAAAGGGTGTAGTTTGTAACGACGAGTAAGCATTTTACGGCGACAAAACAAATATTTGAAGATCGTGATACTAATAATTCTTCGAACCATCGTTCGCATCGCCTCATTCAGCTGGTGGTTACCTTATATATAGGTTTAATAAACCCAGTGTTGCGTTAACGGTACTTGAATTGAATTTGAGGCAGGCATGCCCAGTGTTAGTGTCGCGGGCCACTTTCACATGGGGAAATTCATTGCGGGCGGCAAACGTTTCTCCCAGACTTGAATACCAAGCCAACTCCGATTTACATTAGAATTTGAGCGTCGCAAAATCGAACGCCTGGATTGCACAACACTTGTGCGGATATATGAACACAATGTGCACACAAAGACCATGAAGCATGAAATTCAACTTAACTTTCATTCAAAATGCACATACATAGGCGTAAAAAATGAAGGGGAAAAAATATAAAGTCAGCAATTTTTCTAGTGCGAAACTTGCCTCCGATTGTCATTGCTCAACTGTTCAATATCAACGGGTAGTTTTGATACCGCACAATGTAACTAACTGACTTAGCAAATTTTTGTTCGTCTGCGTACTCCTATGCTTCGATTTCATAATTTTTAAATTATAAGACTTCAGGCTCGAAACAGATTTACGGCATATATCGTTGTCTTACATCTCTTCCCAATCCTTTTGATATTTCCGATTTACATCCTCAAGCTTCATCTTTTTTTGTTCCAGACAAACCGGTGGATTTGTTTTTGTGGTTTAACAACCACCAACAAAACAAGTATACCGGTATGTGACTTCTACCTTGATGACTTCACAATGGATAGCAAACTCATTGAATCGCCACAGATGTTGCCCTCTGAGTGGCTCTCTGTGAAATCATGTTCTATGGCGCTTAACAACGCTTTTTTATGGCGGAGTCGCGTGAAATTATAGCCTAAATTCTAGTAAGATTTGAGTTCATACCAGGTAATTTTTATGTTAAATATGTGCATATGTCCGTATTTATATAAAAACTTCAAGTGGGCCGCACGAATTCATCCTGTGGGTCGCATGCGGGCCGCGGGTTGAACATCCCTGGGCTAGGGTATACAACGAACAGAAATATATCGTACAGGATGTAGTAGCATGAAATGTACGTATAGGTAAATTTTATTATTTTCGGATGCATGTAGACCACAGCACAAAATATAATTTTAAGCAAATATTGCAATAACTTCTCTTTCATTTTTAGATTTAGCTGTCATCTGTACGTCTTCAGTTTAATTTTTCTTGTTTTGCCTATCAGCACAATGGTTGTCTACAAACTAACTTACTTCAACATAATGGGACGGGCAGAACTGACACGCGTTATGTTCGCTCAAGCGGGTGTGGAATATGAAGATGTCAGACTCACATTCGAAGAGTGGGGGAAGTTGAAACCAAGTACGTAAAATCTATTAAAGTTGGCAAACATACAGCTATGGTAAACTTAGCGTAATTGAAATGTCGTTCACGTAAAGTGAAATAAATTATCCAATCAAAGTAACCAGAGGTCATATTTAACGCCGCACAACTTGCTTCAGTTCTTTTTATATCGAACAAGACCCTGTGGCGTACAAATGGTCGCTAATATCTCGCGATAATTTGGGATCTACGTTTATATGAAAGGACCGGAAACTTTCCGGTTTGGCATTGCCGGCCAAATATTTTTCCAACAAAATACCTCGTTCAAGACACGGAATATTTATCGATCAAGTAAAGTATAATACTGGACGTAGTTTACAGCTTAGTTTGTACTTTCGTGAATTCAAATAATCATTTATGAAAATAAAGTGTTATTTTGTTTTTTGTCAAGGTAGTGTATTTGGACAACTTCCGATGCTTGAAATCGACGGTGTCCAATACTGCCAAACTCCTGCAATAAACAGTTACTTGTCAAAAAAATTCGGCTTTTCTGGGAAAACTGAGGAAGAGAGAATGAGAGTTGAAATGATTGGATTCTGTATTCACGACATGGCAATGAAGATCCCGCACATGGAGAAAGATGAGAAAAAGAAGGTATTACGCTGTCGAACAAACCTGGATTAATTCATTAAAACTCACATATCGAAACTCCGCGGGTTCGGTTTTACAAAAAAATAATTTTGAAGATTTCTGTTGAATTTCAACCGTCTTTGTAATCCTGTCCATTACTTTTATACTAGCCAGTTTCACATTAAAAACAACTTTTGGTTTCGAAAAGTTGATGAACATTTTGAGCCTAAAGTTTTCTTTGGCTGAATGCGCTATATTATACTATTTTTTATTTATATATTCAGTGCACGAAATAATATCACCAATCGATAGTAACTATTGCAACGAATCCACACCTATACTAAAATTTAACTTCAATTTTAACAGAAAGAAGGGTTCGAACGAGCGTTCAAAGAAGACGTGCCCCCTTTGTTGCAAAAACTTGAAGCAATTCTCAAACAAAACAAAAATGGTGATGGTTATTTTGTGGACGAGGTGAGTGAAGTCAAATATTCAAACCATATTTATAACTTATCACGCAAAGTTTGGCGTCTATTTGCTATTCGCCCACAAAATACTCGAGACGCTGCGTCAATGGATTGCCCAAATACATTTGAAAAGCGTATGCCATGAAAATGTAAAGTTTGGAAATTATAGTTAATATTTATTACACTTCCAGAATAGTTGTCCGTGCATTGTACGCATATTAGATTTCTGCTAGGCCTAAGTAAGCTTAGTTTGCCTTACTGATTTATAATATGCTTCTTGCCAAACAGCAATTTTGCACCTCATTTCTTGGGTTAATCTCCTTGTCATTCTGTGGGTTGATGAAAAATGCAAACAATACCTAAATTTTACTTCTTATCCATACTATGTTTTCTGAATAAATGAACGCTCAATGATGAGTACATGGAAAGCAAATCAAATTTAAAAATGGATACAGTACTTACTTTTGAGACACCCTGTATATATATACTTTTATTCATCTTTTGTAAGCGTATCAATATTGAAATACGGCTATGGAATTTTAATTTAATCTTTTGAAATATTCCTTCCAGCTCTCCTCTGCTGATATGGCCTGGATGCTGATGGCAGATTATTTTGAAATTAAGTGTCCTGACCTCTTGAAGGCTGTACCAAAACTGGCAGCCCTCGCAAAGAAAGTAGCTGAGGAGCCTAAAATTATTGCTCATAAAAAATTCAGGCCAAATACAGAAGTGTAGATGTATTACATATGCAAAAGAGGAAGTAATTCGAAAGAAATCAAATTTAATTTGAAAGCGCTGTTGCAATATTGAATGTTATTTTGCATTTATTGCATGAAAGTAGTCTGAAACTTTAAAATATATCACTCACCCGGCAAAAATATACTTCCAAAAGAGAATATATACAAAGAGTACATTGTACATTTTCTTCATCAGTTTACTTCGAATGAGAAAATACTTCTTCAACACATTAAAAAACTTTTTTAACTTTCCGGTTTTTTTTGATAATTTATCGGTAGTACAGTTAGGTGTTTAACTTATAGTTCACATCGTAACTATTACATAACAATACAGCAGTTCATAAGTGAGTTGGGTAAATCGATTTCGACATATGATTGTACCCAATAATTTCAGAAATCGATGACGTTTTGCACAAAAGTTATGTTCTCACTAGATAATGTTCCAACTCACCTCTTGGGTATAGAAGACTGAATTGTATCCTCTGCGCAGAATTGTCCATCCTCAACTCAGTTTTCTGCCGAAGTGCCCTTTCTGCTGCCTGGGTATGTCAATGACAAAAATATTGATTATCTGGGTACAACACCTCCGAAAAAAGTCTTACAGAGAACCTTTGACTCAATATATTGCGCAGCATTGGGAAGCCATTTTCAAACATTACATAGCTGGTTCATATTGGTCTGAAAACGCAAATGAAGCGGTGAATAATTACGCGACGGTGCTGAGAAAGTGCTGGGCATCATTTGGGCGACGTAGAGGAGTGGTTTAAAGCAAGACAGGGCGATCCACCACATATCAAATCACTCCCTCGACTGGATAAGAGAGCGATTTCAAAAAAAAAGTTGGTCAGCGAGAACCGAGAAGTGTGACGTCGACTGAGTGAGTACCTCATTCATTGGACTTGTGCACATCAGAATTTCATCTGTGAGGATATTCGGAGAAAAACGTTTATCAGAACATTCTCGAACAATCAGTGAACTCAAAACTGCAATTCCAACACAAATCAGAAATATCTTCATAGCGGAGTGTGTGTGTGTGTTGACTGTTTTGCGCAACGCGTGCAAGTCTTTCTCCTATACTTTGAGGTGATTTGGAACTTTCGTGCAAAGCGTCCTAGATTACTGAAACTTTCGGGTACAATTATGCACAACCAGAAGTTGAAGCATAAGCAAAATCTAATTGCGTCAAAGGTACCATGCTCAGCGCCGTAAGGCGTTTAAACGCAGTATTCAGAGTTCAATTCTTCGTTTTAGAGTAGACGAACACGAATTGGAGGAGTTGATAATCCATTGATACAGGCATCTCTTGTTAGCTCATCACCGTAGTGGTCTGCAGTACAGCTATAAATTTACATTCTCTAGCTAGTCATCAAAGATAATAAAAACCCTGTAAGCGTTTCTCCGGGTTTCTGGCTTGTACAGTTCCATTACATTTGAACCCGTAATTTGAATCCACGAAAATTGCACCTGTATACTATTGCACCTATGGAAATTTTTTTACTGATATTTGAAACCATACTAACCCTAACCCATGGATTTTAGCACCCTCGTATAGATTAAACCCGCGGATATACGGTTACAAATGTACGTGAGTTCAATTGTACGGCCACTTTCGGCTCTTATGTGGTTTAGTTTTTGGAAAAGATACGTCTATCATGGGAATACAATACCATATTCTTTTATCTGTAGGTCATTTCGTTTTGGACGCGCATATACATAACGTACAGGTCGGTTAATGCGAACAGTGTTTTGCACACGGGACCGTATTCCACTATTTACTACAACGTCAGTAATATACTCACAAAGGACATTGGTTTATTTGTTAAGCCAGAAAGCTCAAAATATGCTGACTTTACGAGAGCCACTTTGGAGAAATTGCAGTAGCATTGATCTTGATTCACATAATTATCTAGTAATAAATATTCATGATAATTATAGTCTGTTCATTTTGATCTGTACTACAATTTTTTTTGGAGTATCTATGTGGCAACGATGATTTCCCAGTGGTTAATGCCGCATAAGGCCACTGGTGTTATAACATAAGCGAATAAAACGTATGAATAACATACTATATGCTATATAAATAGGCCAACTTGAACAGCTGATATTTTAAAATAAATGCTCATAAATACTTGCAACTAAACACATTTTAGCTTCGCAACAGATTTTGTAAATATCCAATGGCCATTTAAAATATTCCAACGTATAAACTGTGACCATATATACTTAAATAATATATTGCTTCGCCTGCATGACTAAGGGAAAATAGAATGAATTCAATTGGAAATCACAATGGTTACTAATCGGACTAGATCATCTGAAGTATAACGTCATGGACTGGGGACAAATAGCTAAATAATGCCATGGAGTTTGCTTAGATACAAAGCAAAAGGTGTAGATTATAACGACGAGTAAACTTTTCACGGCGATAAAACAAATATTTGAAGGTCGTGGTATTAATAATTCTTCAATTCACAGCCTCTATTTATGGAAGTTTGTGCGTCGAAAAAAAATAGAATGAAGAAAGCATGGTATAAGATGATGAGAAACGTTGACATCGTCTCATTTAGCTGGTTGGTGTATAGGTTTAATGAAAACCCGTGTTGCGTTACGGTGCTTCAATTAAATTCAATGTCCACTATAAGGGAATACTACCAATAAAAGATATATTGTACAGGGTTAGTAGAATCAGCACAAAATTGAATTTCGAGCAAATATTGCAATAAATTCTCTTTCATTTTCAGATCGAGCTATTAGCCGTACGACTTCAGTTTAATTTTACTTGTTTTTCCCGATTATCACAATGGTTGTCTACAAACTAACATATTTCAATATCATGGGACGAGCAGAACTGACACGCGTTATGTTCGCTCAAGCGGGTGTAAAATATGAAGATGTCAGACTCACACCCGAAGAGTGGGGGAAGATGAAACCAAGTACGTAGAACTTATTAATGTTGCCAAAGAGACAATTAGTGTAAGCATGGCATAATTTGAATGTAGTTCACGCAGAGTAAAATAAAGTATGCAATTTACAGTATAGTGACCAGATGTGATATTTTACCCTGTACATCTTGCTTTAGTTCCTTTTATTCGGAACAAAACCTTATATAGTGTCCAATCCGGTAGCTGATATCTCACGATATTTTAAGACCTACGTTTATATTAAATGAACGGAATCTTTATGAGACATTGCCTGCTCAATAATACTCCAACAACAAAATATCTCCTCTAAGACAGGGTATATAGATCAATTAAGTAAATACACTATCTGACCACGATTTAACGGTCGGTTTCTACCTTCTTGAATTCAAGTAACCATTTTTTAAATATTGTGTTGTTTTGTTTTCTATTAAGGTAGCGTATTTGGACAACTTCCAATGCTTGAAGTCGATGGTGTCCAATACTGCCAAAGTCCTGCGATAAATAGTTATTTGTCAAAAAAATTCGGCTTTTCTGGGAAAACTGAGGAAGAGAGAATGCGAGTTGAAATGATTGGATTCTGTATTCACGACATGGCAATGAAGATCCCGTACATGGAAAAAGATGAGCAAAAGAGGGTATTGCGTAGTCGAAAATGTAGTTTTGTTATTATATTATCCGGCGAAAAGTTTTAAATCTGATTGATTCAAGAATGTTCATAAATTGATGCAATAATTATGCATAGCATACACCCTACTAGATAATCTGCAATCTTTGTAATCCTGCCCATTGCTCTCTAACTATAGCCAGTTGTGCAGTAAAAACAACTTGCCATTTCAAAAACTTGATGTAAAATTTTGTGCCAGTTTTTTTGGCTAAATGCGCAATACTATCTTTATTTATGTATGTAGTGCCAGAAACAATATCAACAATCGATAGTAACTGTTGCCATACATTCATGCCCGTTAAATTTAACTTTAATTGTAACAGAAAGAAGGGTTCGAACGAGCGTTCAAAGAAGACGTGCCCCCTTTGTTGCAAAAACTTGAAGCACTTATTAAACAAAACAAAAATGGTGATGGTTATTTTGTGGGCGAGGTGAGTAAAGTCAAATATTCAAACCATAATCATAACTTATCGCGAAAAGTTTGGCGTCCATTTGCTATTCGCCAACACAATACTCGAGATGCTACGTCAATAGATTGTTTGAATACATTTGAAAAGCGTATGCTAAGAAGTTTGAAAGTTTAACTTAACATTTATTACACCCACACAACAGCGGTCCGTGCACTGTATGCTGAAAAAAGGTTGACAATTACATTTATTTTTTAAGCATAAAGGCATCAAATTGCTAGAAAACGTAATTTTTTAGTTCTTTGTGTGGGGGTGATCTAATTGAAAATATATATATACTTATATTAAAATATTAAATATAATATATTAAATATTCCTTTCAGCTCTCGTCTGCTGATATGGGCTGGATGCTGATGGCAGATTATTTTAAACTCAAGTGCCCTGACCTCTTGAAGGCTGTGCCAAAACTGGCAGCCCTCGCAAAGAAAGTAGCTGCGGAGCCTAAAATTAGTGCCTGGATAAAATCTAGGCCCAAAACAGAAATGTAGATGTATTACACTTCCAAACGAGCAATTATTTCAGAAGAATTCAAGTTTAATTCGAGAAAGCTGTTGCAATATTGAATGTTGTTTTTCATTTATTAGATGGAAGTAGACTGAAATATTGAAATATATCATTCACAAGCAAAAATATGTTTCTGGTAGAGAATTCGAATGTATGTGTTACGATACTTCATCGCTTCAAGACAGATGATGAATTGGGCTCTAAAGCAATATAATGAATAGGCCACACAGTAATATTCGCGCTGTGAACCGCTGGAGATCCACCTGAACCCCGCTGGAATGCTCGGTACTAAGCTTTTCGTGATAGTTTCTCATTTTTGTAGATCAAATTTATCGTGTAAATAATTCGGAGTTTGAATGTCTACAATTAGACAAATAATATTTTGGGATTTATTCGCCATGTTAGTGGCTAAATTTTCTAAATTTATAACTTTTGTTCTACTATTTCAATCTAGTCTAATGTATTGTCGAACGCGCATTGAAATCACGAATCGAATGTTGTAAATGCTTTTTATTTTGGTTCACTTGGTCGAAGCTATTCGTGAATTTCTTCAAATAAATAAAAAATTCGATGACTAATAATTTGCAGGATTTTAATCGAATTTTGAATATAAAGTCATTTCTGTTTTACTTAGGTTAATTAATTCTACTCAAATATGTCAAAAAATTTTGCTAACTTCAATATAACAAGTTTTTCATTTTGAGGTCAAAATTTAAAACTGTAACCCAAACCCCTACGTGAAATGAAGATATATATACTTTTATCTATCTACTGATGCAAAAATTTTAGCAGACCTCCACAGGAAGATTTTTATCTATTCCAGGGGGTTCACTCTGACACAAACAAGTGCTGGATATGAATATATTTAGAACTTGGACTAATTGCTTCATTCCATTTCAAATCGGGTTTGAATATTACATAAATTTATTTCATATTCTTTGTAGGTGGAAATCAAATCTTGTTCCACTGTTTTTCATACGCTTAGATACAATAAACAGGGAGACTCGTATATCCATCCATATGTATGACGTCATGAGTCCCCCTTTTAACTGTTTGCTGAAATCTCACCCTGGACTAATATTGTTCAAATTAAAAGTGAAAAGATAAAATGGCTTTGCGAGGAAAAAGCATTTGAAACTGCTTAAAGAGTAAAATCTTAATCACAACAATATATAATAGACGAATGACGTCACAGGTCCCCGATTGACTGTTCGGTATGTTGTTACCCTAACTCATCAATTGTCCGATGTAAAAGTGTCAAAATAAATTAGGGACTCTTTGAGGGGACATTTTTTCTATGTTCTAAATCCTTTCAGTTTTCTTCTACTGATGCACAGCATGCTATGCCAAGGCCCCGTTAAAGCGTCTCGGGCCATTTTAAATTTTCTATCACATCGCTTTCATGGTGTTCCCCTAACATCGTATTTCGTATGTGTCCCCTAAGACCTAAACCACCGATAATCCATATATGCGACATGGTATATATACTCTGCGTGGATAAGCTTAAACTAACGAAGACAGTCGGTGACCGTACATTTGAACCCATGTCTATATCCGCGGGTTCAATCAATATGCGGGTGCTGAAACCCATGGGTTAGGGTTAGTATGGGTTCAACTATCCGTACAACAAAAAAATTTCCATAGGTGCAATAGTATGCAGGTGCAATTGTCATGGGTTCAAATGTACGTGGGTTCAAATGTAATGGAACCGTTTTGTAATGGTGTCAATCCTACAGAGATGTATATAACACATGTATGTTTTTGTTACAAGTAGTAGATATAAAAAAATGATTAAATATTTATCGACTACGAGAAGTCCGGGCTCTGCCGTTTCGGAGCCTGATTATATACCATGATCAAACAATGCGATCAAATTATTACAAGTTCAGCAGAATTGAAGGTTTGCTTCAAAGGCAGATTAAATTAACTATTTTATGTTTTGCTACTTACCGGTTTGTTACGGATGTAAAAAGTTGTCAAGTCAAACATGTATTGGACGTAATTATGAGTTTTCAGAGAAACAATTTCGTGAGATGACGGAAAGTATATATTAATTACGGTGAAATTCACATATGACTATAATTTTTCTAAAACACTGTGCAGACAAACCTTAATTTACATGCATTTCTACCTTACTACTAAGGGTACTTATGATTAGTACCTCTTTACAATGTACAGTACAATTTACAGTTTATACACAAATTTTGCACGCACTGCAGATGGAGTTTACAAAGATGCCAATCGTGAGTTTTAAAACGAGTAAACAAAATGATTTAGTCATTAACGAATCATTGAATTAATTATCGTGATTATGATTTAGCGGTAAATGATATGTAAACAATCCAACAACTTATGTACCATTTAAATCGACGATGCCTCACTTTGAAGAGATGTAGGTAGAGGCGTTGCGATGGAGATTTATACAAAATGCGACATGGATTCGATTTAAACAATATATATAAACTTATGATGCATGGTCATATGCAATGCAATTACAACGAGTGTTTTCTTTTATAAATGATGGCGAGAATAGTGTCAGTCTAAGAGAGCGAATAATTTCAACTTGCAATGCGAATAAATGCAACATCACAGTGGTCTTCTAGATGTCCTAGGTGCAGTCCACGGGGTCAAATTACGTGTGTACTGTCACCGAATTGACGTGTCCACGTCAATATAAGTCAGTACATGACGTAGTGAAATATATAATGTGGAACTCGTGTCGTGCTTCAAATATCTCAACCACGTCCTGCTGTAGGTTTATCAAGGGTATCAAGATTCAATGAATCTGTAGCAATTGATTTAAATCAATTAGAATCTAATCTCCGGTACATGCACATGGGCGATAATTTCACCAGATTCAGCAATGCTGTTATCGTGAGGTCTAAATCTTCATCAACAATTGCAAACAAATTTATGCTCTACGACAGGGGTCGGCGAGTAATATAATCTGGCCCGCGACGCTTCACTGAATAATAGTAACAAAACAACTGTTTTGACGATAAACGACAGAATTCATTGTAGACTAAATTATATTATATTTCAAGTATATAATTCACAATTATTCAGCCTATAATTTAATTATAATTAGTTAAATTGTAACAAAACGCAGGGAAGTGGATGTTTAGTGCAAAGGGTTTAATGGCGCAGAGAAATATTCAAATGAATTTTTTTGAGATGTAATGCAATGAAAAATAATCTATATTCTATTCGAGTCAACTTTCTAAAAATGTGTGCGGCCGGCCAATGACTTGCAACCTCTAATTTTGGCCCGCGAGTGACAAAAGGTTGTCGACCCCTGCTCTACGGGATAAGTATTTTTGGATCTCCACAAGAGGTGTTTACTGATAATTGGCATAATTTAATATTCATGAATTTATGGACAAGTGTGATAACTCCAATATCATTGTCAACACTTCCCTGCATACTCTTGGTGGAGTTTGTGTTAGACATAACCAAGTATTGACAAATATGCTGCGCAAGATTAGAAATGATGTGCATAATGGTGGAGGAGTCTTGATTGCATGGGTCGTAAATGCTAAATTTTTTTTTGACTATTAATAAAGGATTCGGTCCGACTCAACATGTTTTCGGTCAGAATAACAAACTTCTTTCAGTTTTAGTAGATAAACTACCTGAGTTAGAAGGAAAGACTGAAGACAGTTTGTCAACATAATATCAGCTCTCTGAGGGAATTCAAAGAGCTTTGCGGAAACAGATCAGGCAAGATTTTTTTAATTCCATAGCAGGAGATCGGATATATATATACCAAGAGACAAAATAGTTATAAATGACAAACAATCCGCGATTCTGACAAAAGTTGCCCTGTGTAAATCGCACACGTTGATAGGAACCCCTCTTTTGAAATGTAAAAAAAAGCATTTTTTTGTATCGTACATAGCAAATTTTTAAAAGCAAATGCTTTTAGATCGTCAAGACTCTAGAAAACCACCGTTTCCGCCCTTTGGTCTGACCCAACTAGCTGTCACGGACTAAGTTATCAATTACAATTTTCAGAACCCCCATTGGAAATATCTGGCTATTTTGCGTGTTAATTCTAACTTTTCGAGAATGCGCAATCGCCCTTTGTTTATCTTTTTTTTCCGTTGGAGGACGATATCTCTCACCTTGAGAACCATTAACAGACGAAAATACTTCATTCTGTAATTTCTCAAATCCAGGGGAAGGTCGCTACGCTAACCGCGAGGGGAAAAGTAAGGGAAAATCTTGAGAAATTATAAAGAGGAGGCTCGTTTGGTGTTTGATAGATGCACAAATATCGTCGCCCGCGAGAGGGTGAAAATTCGTCCGGCGCTCTGCCCCCGACACCTTTAGTTAGAATTTTAAATACCACGTCTGAAAATAGTAAATATATCGAAAATATCGGTCTTAATTTAGCCGATACAGATACATGGTCGATGACGAAAAAGTGGCCGATATTGCCTATACCGATACATATGTACTGTACAATTGCTTTCCAACATTTTAAAATACCATGAGCATATACAACAGAGCCATATTTGGCTCTCGAGCCATGGGTTCCTAACCACTGCCATAAGACCTTTGCGCCAGGTCTTGCATATATATATAGAGAGTCTGAAGTCAGAACATCTTTTTAATTTGGCATTAATTTTTCCCCCACTTAAAAGTTATATGGACGAGTTACATAAAGTTACATAAACATGAACAAAGTTAGTCGTAGTCCTTGTAAAACGAATAAATTGAAATGAAAAACATTCATGAGAGTTAATGACGATAATGCTATGACAAAATAATATATACATTAAACTATTAAGATCTCAACATGTTAACAAATAACACAAAAAACTATAAAATATTTCCATTTTGATTATGATGTATAGTAATGACCTGTTACCAAAACAACATTCCGTTGCTTTGTTTTCTAAAATCTAGGGCCCGTGACTTGGTTCGTAAATTTAAAAGATATGCAGAAAGGTTTCGTAAATTTAAAAGATATGCAGAAAGGTTTCATCACTCCTCGCAGCAATCTGTCAACTGGTAAGTTCACAAATATAGAACTGTTCGATTCTACAGATGCTGGTAGAATTGGATGTTTTGTTCGAAGAACGGGAACATAACCCCAGAACCGTACACAAATCGGTTCAAGAACAATACATGCTTTCCC